TCAAAATTTATTTTTTAAATTTATTTTTTAAGTCCACGAAATATTATTCAAATCTTCCCATCAAATTGATTGAACACCTGTTGCTTCAACGCACAGACGTTGTACCTCCCAAAATCGGAATCTGAATCACTTTAGATCTAATCTGGTTGATTATAATTGATGTTTTATTTTATTTTAATGAACAAATCAAACGTCTTTACTTATTAAAAGCAAGCATTGACAACTAAAGTGTTTGAAATATTCTACTCTTTTGCTGTTGTGAGATCCGTTTTGTTGTTAAAATTAATTTATTTTTTATCTATTTTGATTTAATTATACAAAATTTATTCCTAAATTTATTTTTTCGCTTAAAACTATCATCTTTTTCTCCACGACTCCCCACATCAAACAACTCAATCAACAAAATCTCCAATCTCAAATAACTCTAGTAATCCACACCCCTCTCTTTCCTACTTCTATCTTATTTTTTTTTTATGTTTACTTTAATTTTAAATTAAATAATTAAAAAATTATTATTATTTAAAATATAAGTATCACATATTTAATTTTTAATATTTTATAATATCTTCAAGCATGTAATTATTATTAGAGATAATATATTATCAGATATAGAAAAGTAATTGAATTCTGAATCTCGGTGTGGTTTAATCATAAATAAGTGTCGTCAATTGAAATTCTTGTGGTGCATTTACTTTAGGTAGTGGTTGAAAAACAAAAATATCTGACCAACCACGACCTTGATTACAACCGACCACTACCACTACCACTACCACTACCACTATCACCACCAGTACTACTAGTACACAAACAAACAACGTAAAAGGAAACATGATATTTCTATTCACTTTTTTGGAACCAAAATGAAAACTCCAAAAGACCGAAAGTTTAACCATAAAGAGTGATAAGTAAACTCCAAAATTATTTATATAAACTCAGACGTCATGAGTTCAAATTTTAAAAATCAATTAGGATCAAGTATGAAGAATTTATCTTTTATAAATATCCTAATCCCAGCATGGATGACTTGTATTTGACTGGACCAAAGAGGGGATTAGTCAAAATATGAATAAACTAGCCTAGATACCCTTAACCATTGAACCAAAAAAAAAATTATTTATATAACCCAAAATTGAATAAACTCTACCCAAAAATAATATATCAGTCCAAAACAGTTATAAGTGGTACAATACCCAAACTTTTAATTGTTTAGTTCTGATTCTGATTGCGGCTCAGCAACTAGCAGACAGTAAACAACGGCAATGGCAGAAGAAACCATGAGCTTAAGGCAAAGAAGCCAACTCTAATTTGACTGTGTGGAATCTATTCTCATGGTTCTCGCTTTTATTAAAGATAAAAAAGCTTCTGAACCTCCTCTCCAATTTATCATTCATCTGTATGTATGTCAGTAAATTTAAGACTTGGCAATTTGACCTTACACGGCAATTACACATTGCAATGCATCAATAGCTGATTTGGTGATGATTTTATAGAGCTTCACCATACTCAAATTCGACTCACTTTATGACTAGTGAAGTTCAATTATCAAGCTTAAATTCTATAACAAGCCACAAAATCAGACCCCATGAGTTTTTTTTTTTTTTTTCAATACCTATTGCATAATAAAGGAAGCAAACCCTGTATATGGTCAAGAACCAGTGATAAGTCTGGGATTATTTATTATTCAAATAAGATTTGTTTGTAAATAAAATTAGAGCAAACTTATTCGAGCCTACTCAAATTGAACAAGAAGTAGTTTATATTTAGCTTTTTCGAAAAACAAGCTCAAAGACCTAACACCAAATTGGGTTCATTTCCAATTTGAACAAAACTCGAACTACTCGCTTAACGCCTAGGTTGCTTTCATCTGCTACTTATGCTGTGTACTGAGGAATATCTGAAGGCATCCTTCCCAAAAACTGTCGTCCAAAACTTAACCATCAGGTTTGACTACAATCAAAAAATTTTAGTACACTTATTTTTTTTTTTGAGTATCTATACTATTTTGTTTTTTTGCTTACACTTACTACTCTTTTGAGTTGAGCGATTGACTACCGTGATTTAAGCAGGGTTAGAAAATGTTACACTGATTATTTTTTCGAGTTTAACGACTAACCACTGTAAATTATGTCGGATTAAAACATGCCCCTAAAATGACAAGGATGACCAACCCTTTTAGATTCACTCGCCACTTTTGGGGTAGAATTTATCATTTTAGGTAAAATTAAATAATCTTTTGGGGGGTGTTTTTTACGTTTTTGGTTCGGTAAACAAAATTTTACTTTTCAGCATCGCAGTGTTTTCCTGCCCATGAAATCAATTCTGATGGGACTTTAGGTCTGGAGTAAATACTTGTCCTGCAGGCGGCTACCAGCAGGCCATTTTTACGAGCCTTAATCACACCAGTCATTTGGGCCAAGCACTGTTAGACCATGGACCTACTAAAGGTCTGTCCAGGGGTCATCACATGGAGGGCCAATCATCAGCCCACGATCCAATGGGCTGCCAGATGACAAGTCAGCCGTTTTGCCGAGTCCTAGCCTCAGACAATTCATAGCTAAGGTCCAAACGAACTTTTACATATTGAATAAAATTTTGTGATAATTGAGAGTGAGAGCTCCTATTTACGAGATTTAAAATCCGACACTTAAAACATACGTGTCATTAATTCCTATATTAGTAATCTTATTTGGTAGTTAAGTCTATTCTGAGTTTTTCCTTTATTTTAATTACTAAAACAACCTGAAAGATTAAAATTCTCCTATTATACCCTCAATCAAATAAAAATATAGCAATATGTTCTCTTTTGAAAAAGTTGTGTTCAAAAATAGAATAATATCACAAATAAACAAACAAAAATTGACGAGAGAAAGGCAACGGAGACTTGGGTTTCATCTGATTGATTAAGAGTGTAATGTGAAAATCTTTAATTTACTATATTCTTTAGCACGTTCTTATGCATGCTTCCAATATTGAGGGCATTGAATTGCAAAGATCAACTTGCGAGTTTACTTCCAGGTCCATATATCAATACGAGCTAGAAATCCACACCCATGGTTTAAGATATTATTGTTGATTTCTCGAGAAACTATAGGCATGGGTTCCTTAATTTTCATGGAGAAAATTGGTATCATATTTCAATAAGTTTCATGTGTTAGTACACCCTTTACGATGTTATTGATTATGGTTACTACCAAAGATGACAACTAAATTGTGAATTATGTTTTGGGTGATTTGGAAGTTAATACAATCTTTTAGACTTGTTTGAACAAAAATACAACACAAAATCTTATTTGCTCTAAAGTGTATATTTTTAAAAAATAACAATATTGTCGTTCAATAAATAACACTATCATGCCTTAACAATTGCATGAGACTGTAATTGTTACATCCATTAAAAAAACAGTTACACTCATTAAAAAAATAGTTACACCCTTTAAAAAATAGTTATACTCATTAAAAAAACAGTTACACCCATTAAAAAAATAGTTACACACATTTAAAAACAGTTACATCTATTAAAAAAAATAGTTACACTCANGCGGCTACCAGCAGGCCATTTTTACGAGCCTTAATCACACCAGTCATTTGGGCCAAGCACTGTTAGACCATGGACCTACTAAAGGTCTGTCCAGGGGTCATCACATGGAGGGCCAATCATCAGCCCACGATCCAATGGGCTGCCAGATGACAAGTCAGCCGTTTTGCCGAGTCCTAGCCTCAGACAATTCATAGCTAAGGTCCAAACGAACTTTTACATATTGAATAAAATTTTGTGATAATTGAGAGTGAGAGCTCCTATTTACGAGATTTAAAATCCGACACTTAAAACATACGTGTCATTAATTCCTATATTAGTAATCTTATTTGGTAGTTAAGTCTATTCTGAGTTTTTCCTTTATTTTAATTACTAAAACAACCTGAAAGATTAAAATTCTCCTATTATACCCTCAATCAAATAAAAATATAGCAATATGTTCTCTTTTGAAAAAGTTGTGTTCAAAAATAGAATAATATCACAAATAAACAAACAAAAATTGACGAGAGAAAGGCAACGGAGACTTGGGTTTCATCTGATTGATTAAGAGTGTAATGTGAAAATCTTTAATTTACTATATTCTTTAGCACGTTCTTATGCATGCTTCCAATATTGAGGGCATTGAATTGCAAAGATCAACTTGCGAGTTTACTTCCAGGTCCATATATCAATACGAGCTAGAAATCCACACCCATGGTTTAAGATATTATTGTTGATTTCTCGAGAAACTATAGGCATGGGTTCCTTAATTTTCATGGAGAAAATTGGTATCATATTTCAATAAGTTTCATGTGTTAGTACACCCTTTACGATGTTATTGATTATGGTTACTACCAAAGATGACAACTAAATTGTGAATTATGTTTTGGGTGATTTGGAAGTTAATACAATCTTTTAGACTTGTTTGAACAAAAATACAACACAAAATCTTATTTGCTCTAAAGTGTATATTTTTAAAAAATAACAATATTGTCGTTCAATAAATAACACTATCATGCCTTAACAATTGCATGAGACTGTAATTGTTACATCCATTAAAAAAACAGTTACACTCATTAAAAAAATAGTTACACCCTTTAAAAAATAGTTATACTCATTAAAAAAACAGTTACACCCATTAAAAAAATAGTTACACACATTTAAAAACAGTTACATCTATTAAAAAAAATAGTTACACTCATTAAAAAAATAGTTACACACATTAAAAAACAGTTACACTCATTAAAAAAAAAAACAAAAAAGTTCTTTTTTCCCTACATCCTAACAACGAACAATACATAATATCTAACAAAATTTGTGACATTCTAATCAAATCTCATTGCCATAGAATCTTGTTGTCGAAGAAAGAGGGTTTTGATCATTAATGACCCTATTTTACGTCTCATTATTATTATTAATCTTTACATATCTGTTTCCTCAAATAACTGTCAATTATGACTGCATAATTTAAGGGAGAGTGTTTAGGTAAAAAAGTTATTAATTTATTTGAATTTTGTACCTAAATACAAAAAGTTTTAATAAAATTGTACTTAATAGACTAAACAACTTATTTATATACTTTTGTTCAAATAAGTCTAAAAAATTGTACCCACACTCAAAAAAACCCTTATGTTTTAGGTACAAGAAAGTTAATAGCTTACCGAGTTCAGGCCCATCGATGTCATGTTGATCTGGGAACAGAGACCATGTGACACCCTAGAATTGCTCTTGCTTGATGGAAACCAAACTACCTGAGGGACATTGACATGAATGCACATGTTAGAAGTATATGCATTCAGCCTACTTTATATATTACAAGAAAGCTACAATCACAAAAAGATTCATCACAAGATGAAATTTTAATAAGTCATCGTGATTCTCAGACTGGAAGCCACACATATAAATGTAGTTGACTCTAAGACTGAAACCCACAGGACCCTCTGCATTTCTACATTATTTTAATTCTTCATCTATTTCCAAGTTCTCAACTGTTCTCTTTTCATTAGAAAGTGATGCTGTAGAGGAGACAAACACTCAATTTTATGTCTTGGTAAATACAAGATTCGAATCTTTCTCCAACGCATTACTTGTTGACCTGCTTCATATTTTATAGTTTCAAGCGTAATCAAGCACCTAACACGGTTGAAATATACTACAGTGCTTACAAGGCCAAGTGAAAAAATATTCAAGAAACCTGACATCCTGCTTAATTTAAGGTTTTGTCTTCATGACCTTGGCATAAAGAAAGAACTTGGAATAGAAGAAGAAAAAGAACACAGAGAAGAGGAGGAAGAAGAAGAGATGGGCAGCGCATGGGTTTTTTTTGGCATCTTATGCTGCTGTTTTATTCCCTCGAACACGAGTGCAGGGAAAGCCATTTGCTATGATCCAATCTACAAAAGTTGCTATGGCATCCCCCAAAAATGTCCAGCTGGTTGTCCCAGACTCTGTGAGATGGATTGCAAGCTCTGCAAGCCTTACTGTGGTATGATACTAAGATCTGCTCTCGATACACCACCTCTTGTGTGTGTCTATGAGAGTCTTTGTCCTTCGAGTGTGAGCGTGTTTATGTGTGAGTGTATGAGAGAAAGATCTAAATGCCGTTTCTGTAGTACAACAACAATACTTATTCAGAATAAATTACATACACTCAACCTACCACACTAACTTGCTGAGCGTGAGCCCGACATTGATTTATTAGTCCGTCTGACTCTAAATAAAGTAACCAAGTTTCATTTCAAGTCTCTTCCCTTTTAACTTCTACTTTTTTCTGAACCTCTACTTCCCTCTTTTGAATAAATTGTATATTTGTTTTTGCATGCATCAGCTTGTGATAAGCCAGGAGCCGTGTGCCAGGACCCACGATTCATTGGTGGCGATGGAATCATGTTTTATTTTCACGGCAGGAAAGACAAGGACTTTTGCCTGCTGTCAGATTCAGAAGTTCACGTAAATGCTCACTTCATTGGCAAGAGAAGTAAGAAAGGGAGGGATTTCACTTGGGTCCAGTCTGTTGGTATATTTTTCGGGCCACATCAGTTCTATATAGGTGCACAGAAAGTATCCAAATGGCAGGAATCAGTTGACAACATGCTGATCCTGTTGGATGGAAAAGAGATCATGATACCACTAGGCGATGGAAAAAGATGGCAGTCACCAGAAGCAGGGTTGACACTTCAACGGTTAGCAGAGACAAACAAAGTGAAAGTCGTAGTGGAACAGTTGTTTATGATAGTAGCTCGTGTAGTTCCAATTACTGCTGAGGAATCAACAGTGCATGGGTATGACGTAACAGAAGAAGATTGCTTTGCGCATTTGGAGCTCAATTTCAAGTTTGAGTCACTGACCAAGAAGGTGGACGGAATTTTGGGACAGACATACAGACCGAGTTACCAAAGTCGAGTCAAAATGGCAGCAGCCATGCCAATCATGGGAGGTGCAGAGAAGTTTGCAACTTCTCATCTTTTTGCAACTGATTGTACGGTCTCAAACTTTGGGTCGAAGATGGGCATAGATGAAGATTGAGGACCATTGAGCGTTTAATGAGCGAAAAATTACATTTGTGTGCAGGTGGTGAGTAATCGAGCAGTAGACAGTCATCTAGTTGCAGATGATAATTTGAGATGTACTTTTAGACTCCAGATGACAGTTTGGAAATCATAGTGGTTTTCCCGTTTTGTTAAGTGTTTAACAAATTTTTTATATGCTGCCTTTAGATGAACTTGTTCTCTCTCTGTCTTTACAGAATTTTGGTAAACTAGGTACTGCTTTCGATCATAAATTTTGGCAATGCAAATTTTGAAAGGAAGGTACCTCCAAGTTTTATCAAAGGATGTGTACAAACCACAACATGTGACATAAAAACAATTTATTTATTTGTGCTTTTTAGGCCGAGGTTTGTCCAGACCTCTATAACAAGAAACCGCTTAACAGTGAAAAATCAGTGGCCTAACTTTTCTGTTTTATCCACTACCTAGCAGACAATATTTGTGCACCATCATCCAGTGCTCAATAAAGCTTCATCCCTTAATACGTTTTGCCACTTCTTTGGCATGAACTGGTAGAGTATCCTAAGATCATCATTTCCTCATGCTATTAATATCAAACAACATCAATAATCTGTAAAGTTCATAAGCTAATATGATAAACATAATCATGTCATCATCGAACTCTGAATGGAAGGTTTTCTTATAAATTAAGAGATTGTTACCAACTGTCAAGTAATAATATGCACAGAATCAGCATGAATGGAAGAGGATTACCAGTAATCTCCACAAGAGCATAATCCATCAGAAAAATGGTGAAACCGCTTTGTATCTCGAATGATGATCATACGCTTCTCAATAAGTGATACAAATTTTGCCATGCTGTGACAATCACCACAAATTCTGAGGTTCTTAGTTATAATTAATGGCATGCCTGCCCCGGTCACCAGAAGACCAAACGCAATAGCCAACTTCTCACTATGCTTGTTGATCATATCCTCTTTAACATTCTCACCAACATCATGTAGAACAAATTCTGTTTTGGACAAATATCCAGCCTTCTGAATTCTTTCAAGAAGTTCTTCCAACTTTATATATATCCTGTCCGTCTGTGGGTGTGATCGATCACCCACCACAAACCGGTGGATCTTGTGCCCATGTTCAATAAAACTGCAACCGGGGGTTTTCACAACCTCTCTTTCCTTCATTAAAACCCTGGCATTTGAAGCATTCCTCCACAGCCCAGCTGCAGAATATATATTTGATAGCATGATATAGTTCCTACCATCCGACGGGTTTAGAGCACACAATTTTTCTGCTGCTTCTTTTCCAAGTTCTATGTTACCATGAACTTTACACGCATTAAGAAGAGCTCCCCAAACACCAGCATTTGGTTCCATAGGCATTCTTTCAACCATCATACGTGCATCTTTCAAATTTCCTGACCTACCAAAGAGATCAACCATGCACGAATAATGATCCAGCTTTGGCTCAACCCTATAAACTGTAGACATCACCTCAAAGTATCTCTTTCCCTCGTCAACGAGCCCTGAATGACTGCAGGCACTTAATAAATGAATGAAAGTAACATGATCCGGCTGCAGACCTTTTTCAACCATGAGCTCAAAGAGCTCAATTGCATCTCTGCCATAGCCATGCACAGCATTGGCTGCTAGCATAGCAGTCCAAGCTATTCTATCAGGACCGTCCATTCCTCTAAAAACCTCTCCCGAAGCACTTAATCTTCCTGACTTAGCATAAAAACTTAGTAGTGCAGTTGCTATGTTAATATCCGCATTATGACCAGCAGTGATGATGTAACCATGCATGGCCTCACCTAGATTTCCAACACCTATATTTGCACAACCCTGAAGCAAAGTTACCACAGTAGCCTGATCAGGCTTAACACCAGCCTCTCTCATGGTGTTAAAAAGGCCTATTGCTTCCTCAGAACACCCATTGAGAACATAAACCATAACCATTGAATTCCAAGACACCAAATTTGGTACTTGTATTGCCTCGAACAATTGACTAGCCAAGTCTATAAAACCAAGCTTCCCATACATGTTAATGAGAGAATTAGCTACTTTGGATTCCAACAGTAGACCTGTTTTCACTACAAAACCATGAATGTAATTCCCTTCATTAAGAGCCCCCATACCTGTACAAGCTGAAAGTATAGATATGAGGGTCACCTCATTTGGTTCCAAACCCATATCCGATTTCATCCTAAAAAATGCATTGAGGCACTCACTCACACCCCCTCTTCGTGAAAACACTGAAATCAATGAATTCCAAGAGACCAAATCTTTGTTTGGCATTTCATCAAATAGATTCTGTGCGTCTTCTAAACAGTCCAATTTGACATAAAGAGACACCAAACGGTCACCAATGAACCCATCACTGAAATTCAAAGATTTGATTACTCGGCCATGACTTACCCGGCAAATAGAGACAGAAGAACAAGACATTGCACAGCATATGAGAGAATGAGCAACTGATTCTGTATTTGGGTCGGTGTGGAATTGAAGACAGCAAGCATTCCGTACTTTTCTCGGATTGATAATATTGTATAGAGTTGGAGCTTGTTGTTTGGTGTATGTTAAGCTTTGGAATTTGAAGCAAAAAGAGTAAGAAAAAGGGTTGAATAAGAATGAAGAGCACGGAAGTACTTTTATCATCTCCCATCATTCAAATGTAAACATTCCTTTCCACTCATAAATAAGTATGTTCGTTTCTGGAAAATGCTACAAATTTTTCTCTATTCATTACCACCCCATTCTATACCTTGTAGTAGTGGTGCCGATTTTAGATGATACTGAAACTGCGACGGTTGGGGATTTAAGCAAAGCTGAATTTTACATAGATGCCGTGAAAATTCGGGTGTTTGAGTGATGAATGGTGCGAATGAATTGGAAGAGACGGGGTTGATAGAAATACTGCAGCCAAACAAGTTGTCTTACTCAAATTTTTACCTAGATTTAAAAAAATGATAAAAAATTTAATTTGATAAATTTCTCGAAGGAAGAAATTTAAATTTAATTTTAAAAGACAATAAAATATGACTATTAAATTTTTAAAAGAGAGTAAAATTTCACTATTAAATATTTGAATATGAATTTGAGTTTCTCTTGATTTTATATAAATTTGAGAATATAATTTGAAAAAGTTTTTTTTCTTAATTTTTTATTTAAATTTAAATTTATGTCTAAAGAATAAGGGTGAAAGATGCTCATAAAAAGAAATTTTAGTGACGTCAATGGAAAGCTGTGATTTGTAATATTGGCTAATAGTGGCCGAAATCGTTATATATTCGGTTTGCAAAATAACTGTTGTGTGAGATCTGGCGGAGAGACTGGGTTAATAAGAAAGTAAGTGTTGATGTTGGATCAAAAAATAAAATATAAGTAATTCACCTTAATCGCAAGATTAAGATTATATCCATTGTAATGAAAAACTCTTGTTTCTTGTGATTGTATTGCTCGAAGAAGAAAGCGGTGATTATTATAGATTTTTTGGTGTAGGGCATTTTTTTTATAGTATATTCTAAATAAAATTTTGAAACTCTCCTTATATAGTGTCTTTGTTTTCTATTTATACCGGTGGCCATCCAGAGTTACTATAATTTTTTATTTTCTTGACTGATTTTGTGATCCTTTTTCATTTGTATTTGTCCAAATTTACCATTTATAGGGTCATCAGAAGTTATCCCTGTCCCCCGGACACGTGGGACAATGAGAGCTACTTGAGATTTATTTTGTATTGAACTCATACCATTCGAAGTGATCCATTCTGCCGTGCTTAAGACGATCGGACAAACATGTACTAAACTAGATGGCCTTGAGCTTCATGCCTTAGTCTGTGGGCCCACTTTCGTGATGGAGCAGGTGTGCTACAGGTGGCCGTTTAGGTTGTCCATCAAAAAAGGGGTCATCGAATACATTGGGCTTTAAACGGGCGGAGCAAACTTAAATCTCTCGTTATCACTGGCAATCCGTTTCGCTTTGGCGGTGGCTAGTTGCAGAGAAGACTGAGCAGAGAGGGTTCGGAGAAGTGGTAGGTGATGAATTTGAGAAGAGGCTAGGTTGAGGGAGGTGGTTTGTCTCCTGATGGTATTCTTATCTTTTTAAATTACTAATTTCATACCCAATTTCGCTATAAATTTCACTCATAGGATGAGTGAATATTGAATGTGATGGTGTATTTCAACGTGAAACTATTTTTGTGATGACGAGTAAATGAAAGAAATAATATTGAAATTATTGGGATCTGAGCTATTAGACTCGAGGGAATTGTTGGAGAGTTAGGGAATTAACACAGTTGAAATATATTGATTTGTCAGTTCGGGAACTTGATTAGTCCACTCTAGAATGGAAACTCTTACTCCTTTTCTTTCAATAATTATCGTTACAATGTTACAATGACTCCTTTTTGTTTCTAGGGTTTCTCTTCCTGTTAGGAGGTGTTACATTACATTTATAGGGTCGTTCCCTACTAAGTGGGATCCTGGCCGAAATTATTGCCCTTATTTCGTGGGATTATCCCTAATTTTAAGGAGTAGATCTTGGTTGGGTAAGATTAGGTGCCTTGATTACAGCTTCCTAACGCTTTAGGAACCTCTCGTGATTATTCAACTGTTGTTTTGGTTGTCATTACCATTGTTTATCTTACGGGTACCTTCAGCTCTACTCTTTCAAGTTCTACTTGCCTAGTCTGACCTCCTGAGCTGGCACTTGGGATTTATTTTGAGGTATCATCAGTTGCCCCCCAACCCTTGGCCCAAGTGAGCTTGGGCATGGGTTGAGCTGCTTTCACCTTGGACCAGACCTGCACCTAACTGACCTTAGTCCGCATGTGGGATGCACGTGGGAGGGGCATTTTGACAATTTACAGTAATGATGGCTTCCTCGATTCCTGCACATGTTTCAGCCCACGTCATTCAAGCTTTAAATGCTCAAACGGCTACCCGAAAACCGCTCAAAATCCCCTGTTCATCTTCTACACTGTTCACCTTTGTCTCTGACTCTTTCTTTTTGCGATTTCTGGGCTTTCTTCCACACGATTCCCTTATTTTCTGCTCTAGACTGTGCTTTTTGGGTTTGACTCGAAGTCCTACTTTGTTCTTCTCCTCCAATTTTGTTCTCTGGTTGTTGTTTGCTGCTCTCTTCCCTGTCTAGGTATACTTCCTTCTTCCCCTTTCTCTTTCTCTTACCTTTCCTCACTCTGGATCCCTCGACTTCGAGGTGGTCATTGTTTTTATGGATTTTTGGTTCTTTTTCTTTTGGAATCGCGATCGTTGCCTATCTCCTCTTCTCCGCTTTGTGGATTGGAACTCCACTGTGCGAATTCTTACTGTTGGGAGGTACAGTGCTGACCCTAGGATTATAAGGGGATGTTTAGTTAGTATTCCTTCTTTTTATCATTCTTTCACCTTGCCTTTCTCCTTTCCAATCATGTCTGCCTCCTCTAGAGTAACTCATTCCTCTGTTTCCCTCTTAGGTGATAGGTCTGCCCAAAAAGATTCTGATTTAGGAGATGTAGGTAACAAGATTGATAACTTTCTTGGCGTAGACTCTGCCAAGGTAGAGGTGAAGACTGAGGAGGCCCCCTCCACTTCTTCCCCCATGCTTGATAGACCTGATAAGGGCAAGGGCAAAGTAAGTGGTGTGGGAGTCATTGTTTCAGGCGCAAGTGCTGCCTTTAGGAATGCTGAACTTGTAGGTCCCAGTGGACTTACCCTTTCTGACCTGAAGGTTCTCAGTGCTCGCTTTAGTTTCCCCCTAGGGGTTCAGCCCTGGAGTCCTGATAAGTACACCATATATGTTCACCATGTCCATAAGAAGGTCTGTTTCTTCCTGACAACTTTTGATAACAAACTTCGATTCCCCCATTCATCCTTTTATCAAAGATGTCCTTCAACACTTCAATGTTTGCCCTGCCCAGCTCTCCCCCAACTTTTGGAGTATTCTTGTGGGTTTACTAGTCTTCTTTAGGAACCATAAGCTCGGGGTCCCCACTGTTTCCATACGTATGAAGCTGTTCAATGTCAAGCAGACCTCTTCTGACGATTTCTGTATATTTCCAAGAGGGCTAAGGCCAAATAGGTCATCTTTGACCTCCCAAGATCTCATAAGGGCTGGAAGAAACAATTTTTCTTTGTAGGCGATGCATAGTGGGAGTTCAACTCAAAGGATAAAACTGATACCCTCCTCATCCCTACAGAGTAGTCTGCCCCCGATAATTTGGGTATGTTTTTGCCCAGACAATATTTAATCCAATCCTGGCTGCTTTGTTAGCTTATTTCTTATTTTTCTTGATTTTCTAGGTATTCGACCTGAGCTCAGCGCTGAAGAAGAGCGAGTATTGCAAAATTTAGAAAAGTGTAAACCAAAGAGATATTTTGAGCTCATCCAACCTTGGGCTCTTGTAGAACACGGGTTCTGCCTTCCTAAGGTGAGGGTTGAAGCTCCCCTTCCACTTTTTATTGCTGGCCTCATCCCACTTTTCGCCGCAGATATATCAGGTAATACTTTTTTTTTGCACCATTTCTCCTCTTTTCTCTGTCTAAGGGCGAGGCTTAGCTATTCTTAGGTCCCGCAGGTTCATCCTCAATGGAGCCCACTGCTACTGAACTCAGGGCTAAACTTTTTCAAATAAAGAATATCAAGGGCAGCAACAAGAGTAGCAGCAAGAGCAGCGCCAAACGCAAGTCGGGACCCAGCTTTGTCGATGTCTCCCCTCTTCCTGCCAAGGTGCCTAGGACAGACATGTCACTCACTCCCTCTGCTCTAGCTGTCCTAGACTTCTCTTTCCAAGTCGTTTTTCCTGCTACTCCAAGCGCTGCTGCTTCAGGACAGACATCCCCCTCTGCTTCTGATGTCGAGAGAGCTGTGGAGACGACCTCCCGAATCTTGGCCTCTCTTAGTTCGCTTGGTGCATTAATCAATCCTCCCCTACCTGAGGGTTCCAAGGTTGTAAAGGAGGAGCTCCTCAAGGCAGGTAAAAGTGAGGGCTCCTTTCTTGATAACCCCGACCTTGCTGCAGGGGCCCTTTCCTCTATTCTTCACAATGCTAATATAAAAAGGGTCTTTTCACTATCTCTTGAGGATTGAATAAGCTCCGTTCTTCACGGATTAACTGCGGTAAGTTCTTGTTCACATTTATGACCTCTTCTTTCTTTTTGAACTTTCCTAACTTTTGTCTATTTTTCTCTTGCTCCAAGTCTGCTATCCAAGCCAAGAGCTTGATAAACAGGGTCCTATCTGCGGAGAATTTTGTCAAAATGGTGAGGGCTTACAAAGTTAAGGTTGTCGAGTTAGCTTTTGAAAATGATGATCTGTGAGCTCAGCTACAAGAGTTACAAGACAAAGTGGGGAAGCAGGCTTCCAACATTGAGGGCTTAGAAGTTGCAAAGGCCAAAGCTGAGGAGGGGGAGAGAAAGGCTAGGGAAGCCTGGGCCAAGGCTAGCCAGGAGGCTTCTGCTGCTCAGAGCTCTTTTACAAGCTTAACTAGAGATTTTGTTGTCCTTTCTAATGCTAATGACACCCTTTACAGCGAGTTTGAAAAGCTAAATGTTGTTATATCTGTAAAGGACAAAGACATTGCCAAGCTGCGGATGATGTTGCAACCAAATAGGTCTCTGGGTGGCTTACTTTCCAAGGAAAAGCTGAGGAGACCTACCCTGACTTGAATTTCAACTTTGATGTTCCTAGCGATAAAGACACAAAGGTGGCTGAAGCAGAAAGTGAAGGTGAGCCCCCCGCCTCTTCAGACGTCTCTGCTGCCGAGCTCCCCTCCCCTGTTGACCTTGCCACTGAGGCTTCAGTTCTCCCACCTTCTGTAGAGGCCCCACATTCAGAAGCTCCTCTCGTTGGATCTTCCCCAAACTCTGTTGACTTGCCCATCACTTCT